AAGAGGACATTCTTCCAGTGCTGGTGTCAATGTTGCCCACTGTGGAAGGAGCTGGTGCTGTCTGCCCTGTGCCATGTCTGTGTGTGCTCCTGTCCCTCTGTCTCCTCACAGGCATTCCTGCCCTTGCTGAAGAAAGCTGCCCAGGGGAGCCCAGGCTCAGGGCTGAGTTGCAGCAAGGCTGCCATCGTCAACATGTCCAGCACTGCTGGCTCCATCACTTCTGTCTTTGGCTGGGACATAATGCAAGTCACCTCGTACCGCTGCAGCAAGGTATTGTCACACCTTTGCTCCCCCTGCCCAGCTGTGGGTCCCCTTGCAGCCCCCCCTTCCCCTCCCACCACTGTCCCTGCATTGTCTCCCCACAGGCTGCTCTGAACATGCTGAGCAAGTGCCAGTCCCTGGCGTACAAGGAGCACGGCATCCTCTGTGTCGCTCTCCACCCCGGCTGGGTGCAAACAGACATGGGCAGCTCTTTCGGACACCAACACACGGTAGGAATTCCACCAGGGCGGGTCCATCAGAGCCCCTGTGCTGGTTTTCCATGGGTGGGAGTTGCTGTCCTGAGCCCCTGCCCCTGGCTTCCCTGCCTGCCCAATCGCTGCTGGGGCAGCTCTCCCTGTCCTGGTCTTGGGTGCTGGGTGTCTCCATCCCCTCAGTTCTTATCTCAGTCCCTTCCCCTCAGGTTGTCAGCTTTCCCTTTGCCCTGGAGCAGATCTTTCCCCTGGCTCTAGCTGTTCCAGGGCCCTCAGCCAGGCCTTGGGCATGGGCTGCATCTCCCCCTCTGCCCCACAGCCCCCTGTGACAGTGGATGACAGCGTGCAAGGGATGCTGAAGGTCCTCTCCTCCCTCTCTGAGAAGGAGACCGGCGCCTTCCTGGACTGGGAAGGGAAGGTCAGTCCCTGGTGAGACACCACTTCAGGATCCTGGCAGCCAGGAGAGACCCTGTGCCACTGCTTCTGTGTTTCCCAGATCCTCAATAAACTTGTGCCAATAGCCTCCAGCTCTGTTGTGCATTGCCAGCTCATGAGATGGCCCCTTCCCAGATATCCCACTCCTCATGCTGGATGCAGTGGTGCCCACAGCTGCCCTCGACCCACGGCTGTCACGGGCATTCCCATGAGTGTCCCATGGCACTGGGACTGCCCTCTGGAGACCTCCCCTCCAGGAGGCACTGGAGAAGCTGGAGCAGGGTCCCTCTCCTGAGAGAAGAGAGATTTTCTGAGCCCCTGCAGGACTGACTTTCACCTGTCCCAGCTGGGCTGCCTGAGGGGCTGGGGGTCACAGGGACCAGCTGCCTCCTCCCCTCAGCTGGGGATGCCTGGTCACAGGTGGGACAGAGGGACACACAGCGCTCGGGCAGAGCACAGGGATCCTGCCCCAGGCTTGGAAGGGGGGTTTGAGACTGGGTGTGGAGACAGAGCAGAGAGGCATCAGCTGCCAGAGTTTACAGAGGTGGGGGTACAGAGGGACCACAGGGAACACATGGCATGGGAAAGGAGAGGCTGTTTCCCAAACTGATTCCCTCTCCCCGGCAGTGTGGGGAGGGCTGAGGGTGAACAGGGCTGACCATGCAGGGTGATGAGCCAGCGAGCAGAGGCTCCAGCATGGGCAAGAGGTGCTGTCCATTTTCCCCTCACCAGGGCAGGCTGTTCCCTTCCCAGTCGAGAAAGGTTCCGGAGGTGTCCTGTGAGAGGCTGGCCAGCACAGTCAGGATGCCCCTCACGCTGTGCTCCACTGTCAGCGGTGCCTGCAGAAAAAGACAATGGACTGTAACAGAGAGCAGCTCTTGGGGAGGGTGCATGCCCAGGAGCAGCATCCATGGTGCTCATGGGGATATTTTTCCTTACTGCTGCACATCTGTTCTCCAGGCTGGGCTGGGGAGACAGGGCTGGCTATCCCGTGTATTTATTCAGTATGTTGCACCTTGCTGCCTGCTCCCTGCCTGCTCTGCTCCAGAAGATGGTCCTGGCAGCCCACAGTATCACACAAGATCCCCCAAGTGCCCCTGCCCTCCCCAAGACATGGTGATTCAGTGGGGGTCCTGCTGACCCTTCCCTTCCCAGCCCAGTACCTCCTCTGTGCCCATGTCAGTCTTCACCCAGCCAGGATGGATGGCCATGCACAAGATCCCCTTGACCTGGAGTTCCGCAGCCAAGCACCTCGTCACCATGTTCTGGGCAGCCTGGAAGAGGCACAGCCCTGCCAGCACAACCCGGGGAGTGGGTGGGCAGGAGAGGAAACATTTTCCAGGAAGAAAATGTCTGTGGAGGTGGGAAATGGGACTTGGTCCTGGGACAAAGCATCAGCATGACCTGCTGGAAAGGCTCAGTCCTGGCTTCTGCTGTCCCAGTCTCTGTGCTTCCACCTGGGAGAACCGGGCAGGGGGTGGTGGCTGGGGCAGGGGGTGACCCATGGGCTCCCTCCCCTCCATGGGCACCGTGCCTGGGACAGCATCTCCAGCACCTCCCCTGGCGCCTCACCTTGCTGGCCCGGTACGGGTACATGGGGGCCTCTGGCACCCTGAGGCACAGCCCGATGGAGCCCAGTTTGCTGGAGATGTTGATGACAGCAGCCCGGCTGCAGCTCAGACCCTCCTTCCCTGCACCCTTCGCCGCTTGCTCCAGGAGTGGCAGAAATTCCTGATGCAGAGACACCAATTCTTCATTGACATGCAATAGAATCCTAATTTAAGGACCATCCTGGAGGGCTCTGTCACACACTGTGGACAAGCAGCTGGACAGACACTCCTGGCAGAAGTGCAGGGGATGGGGAAGCTACCCCAAGGAAGGGCCAGGCTCCAGCCAGCACAGTGAGCTGGCACAGTGAGCCTGGTGCAGGTAGGTGCTCCCAAGTGGGGAAGAGCTTGGAAGCATGGGGGATACTGGCTGGGCTAAGCTGCTGAGCTCCTCTGGGTAGGCAGGGGAGGTGACTTTATTCCCATCAGGGAACATCTTCCCAAGCAGGAGAAACCCAAAAGGTCCAGACATACCTTCACAACCTGGAGTGGTCCAACCACATTGGTGGCAAACACATCGAGCATCTCCTGCGAGTCCAGGGACTGCAGTGTGGCGTGGGAGCTGATGCCTGCGTTGTTGATGAGGAGGTTCAAGCCTTGGTCCTTCAGATGATAGCCCACAGCCTGCATGGCCCCTTGGATGCTGGGCAAATTCACTGTGTCTGCCAGGGAAAAAGCAAAGTGAAGGATAGCTCTGATGGGACACAGCACTCACTGGAAATTGTGCTGTGGCTGGAAGCAGCACTTCTTATCCAGAAAGGATGCAGCAGGTTTAGCAAATTAAGCACATTGGAATGTGCAGCACTTTGTCCTTACCTCTTGGTTTTGCAGCCTCAGCTGAATTAAACCTTAATTCAACTCATTTTGGTCATGTGAGGGCTACTGGTAGGAAAGACTTGTCTGTATTTACTTTCTATATTCAAGGAATTTATGATTTTACAAGGGATGCTTGGTACCTGCACACTGAGACTCCCAGGTTTATTTCCACAGGGAAATAAAGCTATTTTTTCCTCCATGCTGTTACCCACAAAGTTTTGGAGCTGACAGATGAGCTGAGGTGAGTACAAGTAATAAAAGATTTGGGATGTAACCTGCAGTATTTGGTTGCAGGCTCTGAAACTGAGCTTCCCTATCCCTACTCACCAAGTTGTGGGGACAACCCCTCTCAAACAACAAGGCACAACTGAAATTGAGCTAACAGGGATAAGCTTCCTCTTTGCTTAAATATTGGTATAGCTTTTGAAATTCTGACATGCTTCAATTGCAGGATTTTTCTGACTCAGGCAATAAAAGTGGTGTCTTTTAAAGTTTGTGTCCAGCTGTTAGGGTTGATTGTTAGGATTTATATCCTGTCCTGGATACTCACCAACTGAAGTGGCTGTAGTTTTTTTGTTTAAAAGGGTCATATAAATACCTTCAGAATGTGAAACAGGAGGGTTAGGCCAACATTAAATTTTATATTTTGTCTTTTAATACCTCAAGTATACCACAGAGCCCTTAAAACTGTGAATATTCATGTGTATGGGCAGGTTGAAATGTGCCCTTGTACCCATGCACATTTCTGTGTCTGTTTTTTGCAGATGTCAATGTGATGAGCCTACTGGGAGTGGGGGACTGCAGGGCTAGATTCCTCTTTTTTATTCTGCAACACTTTGGCCCCTGAGCTGTGTTTCTGTTTTCATGTTTAGAAAAGGGTAACTTAGCAAATGTTTCCAAGGCTGAAGATTTCTTTCTTGGAATATTTTGTACACTGATGGGCAGAAAAAAAATCCTTTTTCCTGGCATTTTTAACTGTCCTGATGTTTTTATGATGGTAAGCAAGTATGTGAGTGGTATAAGCCTTGTTGCTATCTTGTGTTGTGCAGTGCACACCTTTGTAGAGATGTCCTGAAAGCATTTGAGGGAAATACCATGGGATAATCTGCTTTGGGACTGTGTGAGGGGAAGGAGCCTTGGGATTTGAGACACTTTTGCATGTCCAGTTGCAAGACAAACCACAGAGAGCTTTGGAGTTACTTCTTTGGATAACAATGGGATGAAGTTCAAGGTTCTGTCACTCCACCACATGTTAAGGATCTTTTGGTCACATGGTGAATGATTAACTGCTCTGCTTGGATTAGCTGAGTCGTTGCTCCAAGGCACATGGGACCAACACATTTTTAGTCCTTAACCCCCAAATCTGCTGAAATAACAAACTCTTGTCTCCCTGGAAGAAATAAGGGTAGGAAGGAAAGAAAGAGGGTGAAAAGAAGTGACAGATCTTACACATTTTTGAGGTATCTTGTTGCTGTTGATATTTAAGAGCTTTTAAGCTTATTTTGGGACTTTATTGACAGTCTGGGGCTTGGGGTGTATTTTTTTAGTAAATATTTTTCATGTAGTAGCCAGTTCCTTGAGATATCCCTTTTATGTTGGCCATATTCTTCCCATCAGGTACTGCCAGCTGGGGCTTACAGCTTATTTATTTTTTATTACAGAGAAGGTGTTTTACTTTAGAAAAATCTACTTAATAGCAAAAGAGATATTTGCTGCCTTTTTGTAGTAAAGCCCGTATTCAAGAATATCTTATTTTCTAAGAAATATTAAAAAAACTGAATTGAACTGAAGTGACTTCAACTTTTCAGGTGCTTTTAAACAAATGAATAGCTAGGTAGATAGGTAGGTACTGATATGGCATAGCCTTGATTCAGTTTCTTTATTGTTGACTCCAATGAAATACAAGTATTTAGAAGCTCTGGCTGCTTCCCACCTCACTTATTACAGCAATGGCCATCCTAGTGCAGGCACTTTCCCAAAACATTTATTTTGGATTTGGATGTTCTTTTAATTCTTCATTAATAAAATGAAGGCTGGCTGTTCTCCCTATGCTGTCTAGGTCAATTTTCTGCCTTCTCCCAAATGCTGCTGAAAAAGGTCACCTAGTTTGGCCGACATCCATAGAAGGAAGGAATGGCCAAGAGGGCATTTCCCCAGTCCAGACTGTGGACATCCCATGCCTCTGGGTCAGAGAATCAGAGATATCAGTCTGGGCAGATTTCCCACATCATTTTTAACTATTTTTTTCTCCCTTTTTTACCTGAAAGAAATGCTGACCCTGGCCACCTCCTAGCAGATCCCAAACCAACCCTCCTACTTAGGAACCATCCAGGCAGTTACTGTGCCCTGCCTTGCTTCACTTTGTGAACCCATATGTCCCAGCCAGAAACTTGGGTACTGTATTAACATCTTTGGGAAGAGACATCATACCTTTCCCATGAAACTTGCTCAGCTGAGGTATCTGGACCCAGCTCTGCCTCCTCTGAAGCCAGTTTGACTGCTCCAGCCAGAGTACAGCTTAATTTGGGAGGAGAAGCTTGCCTAGCTGTGCATGGCTCCCTCCCCATGGATCCCTTCCCACCTGGCAGGGCTAGAGCTTCCTGCAAAAGCTGCTCCTGGTCCCACCTCTGAAGTCAGCAGTGAGCTGGAAGCAATGTTGGGTGCAAGGAGAAAGGTTGCTCCATACCTAGCTGGACCAGTTTGATGCTGGAGTGCTGGGCAGCTAATTCTTGTAGGGCCTGGAAATAAAGTGATGGAGCAAGGGGAGAGGTTAGAAGCCACCAGCTGCATGGTTAGATGTCTTCTCCCGCTCCCACATCACTGAGACAGGGTAGCTTTGCTTTCTTTGGGGAAAGAGCACAAGGCCATTCCCAGTTGATGGGGTAGGATGGGGTAAGGCAGCAACCCCACAGCCAGCAGGAAAATGGTGCTGCTGGGCTTAGGAACTGCCCCCCATCCTGAGTGATCCCAGCACAGAAAAGGGGTTGGCTGGCCATTGGCACAGCCAGGAGCAAGTGCTGAAGACGTCTGCCTCTCCAGCCACACCCCACCCTGCCTTACCCAGAGAGCTGGGGGGGTTATGAGACCCCCAGAGCACTTTTGCCCCCAGTCCTGGGCTACCCGGCCAGGACAGCAAACCAACAGGGCTATGGGGACTGCAGGTCCCTACTGCCCACCTGGCTCAGCACCATCCCATTCCCTGTGCCCGCACTGACCTTCCCTCTTGGACCCTTGGGGTCGCGGCAGGTGGCAAAGATGTGCTGGGGGGGGCGGGGGCTGGCGGCGAGCTGCCGCACAAGCTCCAGTCCAATGCCCCGGTTGGACCCTGTCACCAGCACGCTCCGAGCCAGCGCAGCCATGTCCCCAGCCTCTGCGCCGGGCGGTGACACATGGCAGGGTTGCCGCCTGCTTGGTGTGAAGAGGAGCCCGGCACAGCCCAGGGTGTGGCTCTGGGCACCCACGGGGACTGGGACAGTGCCAGAACCTGGCCCCTCGCCTGTCCCAAACTAAGCCAGGGTCCCAGGAGGACCAAGGGCTCCCTAACATTTGGCACATGGGACTGTCACCTGCACTGCTCAGATTCCCCCCACTATGCTCCTCTAAAGCCCCAGCTCCCAGAGTCTCTGTAACAACAAAAGGGTCCACCTCTTCCACAGGCTTGGAAGAGCACTACTAGGAAAAGGAGAACAGGTTCAAATCTGGCTGTGGCCAGCAATCTCCTAGTTTGTGGGGTGAGTTTGAGATGGTTGAATTCTGAGATACTAATCCAAACCCCAGCCTGGGAAACACAGGGAGTAAAGTTTGTATACTGCAAGTTCCACTCCTGCCAACACTTCCCCTCCCACTCCCTGTAGCCTCGACCACCCACTGCTGGGGCTTCAATCACCTTCTCATCCATCACCTTCCTCCTTGCTGGAGGACAATGCTGGATCCTTATAAGCCCAACAAGTGCCTGTAAAAGCAAGGCTTCTGCAACCCTGGCCATCCTGGGGGCATGGATTTTTTAGGATGCAGAAGTGTTAAAAGAAGCAAAGAGCTGCCATGTAAAAAGCCTCAGCTAAAACAGCAGAATTGGGGCAACATGAATATGAGGTGGGGGAGGAAAAAAGAAGAGGAAAGTAGCGGGGGTGGGTCCATCCCATCTGAATGTGCCTTGTGGTACATACCTGTTGCTCAGTGTGGCAGGGGGGACAGAAGTCTCTATTCCCCGAGTAGCTGAGTGGTTCCACATTTGGCAATCACCAAAGAAACACTCAGGAGATGGTAAAGGGCCTTCACATTTAGAAGATGAGCTTTCAGGTGACACGGGTCATGAAGGGGAAGAAGCAGTGATGTCTCCTTCCATGCTGGTGGACAGACTATGGCCCTATGAGAGGTAAGCATGCTGGGTGTGGATTTGGATGGTGTTGGAGTTGGACCTGCTGTAGCACACGTTCTTTCAGGTATAATCACCTGCACAAACAATTGCACTGCACAGACTTGCCTGCTCCACCAGCAGCATCCAGAGCAGAGCTCCCATTATGAACAAATTAGACTGGAGTTTCCTCTTTTCCTTCCAGACTCCTCAAGAAGGAAACAACAGAAACAAGCAAAGAGGGCTGCAGGACCAGGAATGGCTATAGGCCAGTGCCAAGCAGGGGAGTGACCTTTGGAAAGGGCTGATCAATGTCACCCAGGAACAGCAGCACAGGCACACTCATGGCTCCAGAATCACAGCCCAGGACCAGAAAGTATGCACCAGGGAAGAGATGAGACCAGGATACAAGATCCCAATGCTATAGAGGCATATAACCATCCAGGTTAGACAGGAACTGGGAAAACTCTACTCCAAGGCCCTTCAGGAGGAGCAGGATCAGCAGTGACTTTGGAGCAGGTTGCCCAGGGCTTGAACCTGACCTCAAAACCCTCCAGGGACACTGCAGACTTCCCAGACCCCCTTTCAATGCTTGACTGTCCCTGGAGCGATTGTTTTTTTTTTGTCAGTGCGGCACCTCCCCTGCATACATGCTGTCCCCCTTGGCCTGGGTCCACAAGGCCCTTCCCATGAGGTCCATGATTGGAGCCATGCACGGACCCCTCCTGTATCTCATAGCCTTGACCCCGCAGACCCCTGCAAAGACCCTGTAGCCATTACATCCCCCAGCAGGGCTTTGGTCACCACTCCAGCCCCCCAGCTCCGCACCCCCGAGCCAGCTCCTGCCCTGCCACAGCCCCTTCCCGGCCGAGCCCCACAGCTCCCCTCTCCCTCCATGGGAGCAGACAGCATCATTGTTGCAAAATGTGGAATGTGTCAGTATTATCTTAAGTCAGGCTGTTCTTTGATGTAAGACCTTTGTATACTTTCAAGCCTAATCAGCAGGAAAGGAGACCTAATCACTGGAAGAGGCAGTAGCAGCATCCCTCACTCAAGGACATTCTGGAGCTAACAAGATTTAGGGATTGCTAACTTGGCAAAACACTCCAGGCAGTTAGAGCTAAACTATTGTTATAAATGACTTTAATATGTCCAAACAATCAAATCTAATTAATTGATAATATACTTTAACAAATTGGATACAAAATAATAAAAAACTACAATTTAGTAAAAGAATACAATTTAGTAAAAAAAAAAATACAATTTAGTAGATATATTCAGATATATATTTATATATATATATATATATGAATATAATTGGCCAGTGGTTACAAATGGTTAAGGCATAAGCAAAACTGACCGGTGTATGGGGGGGGGCTTCTCACCCCACCTCACATATGAAAGAAAACCCTTCAAGCTAAACTTATACACTGTATGCTTATACATATTCATTATTGTTTCCCATAAGTTTCCTTCTATTTCTGATTTTTCTGACTTTATGTCACCTTTCTTCACGGCGCATGCCTCACTTGTTGTTAGGGGGTCTTCAGTCTTCTTTTGGGGTCTTTTGGCAAAGGCTTCTCCTCTTCCTCGTTGTCCTTTGGATAACCTTACAGGTTTGCATGTGCATACTAAGCAGTGTGTTATGTTAGTCTATTAATTAGCCTTATATTTTCTAATCTTTAGGCCCAATGCCTAAATTCATTCTAATTTTGGTTCATCTCAAGGCCATTTTGGTCTTGAGACACCATTTATCTTCTAAACTACATCCTGTACCTTAATTTTGACAGGTAACATCTGCAAAGGGGTACATCTGCATTATAACACTAATTCTTGATCATTTCTAATAATAATTTTAATAACAGTTACAATTTAGTTAGCACAAATCAATTCCATTTATTACATTATCCTCATTGTAACATTAAAAATCACACCTATGGATCAAAAATACCTTCCCCACGTGAAGACCCTTCCCCTGAGCATGAATAGAAGTTAGCTGGGGTTACATGATTTGTATGGAAGGTATTAGTCAATCCTAACAGCAGGGCTGTGCTTGGGAACTTACTAACACTGAATTTCTGTGTATAAATAACTGCATGGAAAGTCCGGTGGGGTATGCTGGATTTGTGTAATACCACTGAGCACACAGGCTGGGGCAACTCTGAAATAAACAGTGTCCCACTCGGGTGTGTCATTATCGGCTCGTTGCACACCAGGGAACGAAAGTGATTCTCGGGACAACATCCCCGCGCCTGCAGGCCTGGCAGCCCTAAAATGGCGGCGCCCGGTGATGCCTCAGGCCGCCCGCGTCACGTGGCCGCCGTGTCCCGCCATTGCATCAGCCGGGGGCAGCGCGGGCGGG